CAAAATACTTAGTTTAAGCTTAGTCATTTAAATTAGTTATCTACTTTAAATTTCCATAACTATAAAATTCATAATTTCCTCAGCTTTATTTTGAAACATAGTTTGTAAAAAGTTGAGCAAGAAATAAGGAAGTTATAAGAGTTTTTCATCAGGATGACGCCTCACAGTCCATTGACCTTCATTCATTTTGTTGAGGCTCCTCAATGCATAACAGAGCTCCAGTGCGTGCACGTCAATGTAGCTAGCAATGCGCTAGCCACGCCCAATCTGGTAATATATATCAATGATTATAATGTTTGTTTCTGTCTGTGTTCAACAATGACTCAATATTTAACATCAGACAGATAATTATCTTCAGTTTAATATTTATTTGTTCAGAGCAAACTGACGCTTTCGTCATTTCAACCAGTCAGTGTTTCTTCATCTGACCTTTGACCTTTCCTTCATGCTTTGTGTCATTCTGAAGTGGGCCTGAGCTAACGCCGTGCGGACTTGTTCCAGTCTGTAGAGTTTACAGTGTGTCAGTGTGATAAGTGTTGATTCATTTCACCGCTTTGCTTTAATCTTCATGTTCTTCTGCAGTTTGTGTTCCTGAGGACCCTTTAACTCAAACCCAGTCTGCTCTGAGCCCCAGAGATCAGAGTGGTTTATTTAGTGCCATGTGTGTGTGCAGGTATCTGTGTGTGAATCAACCAAATGTTCTTATGATGTGAACCTGGTGAAGTGAAATCTGTCCTGTGCTGTATTTTTTTTTCAACAATAACTAAACTGTGCAGAAAATGATTCAAGTTTTGGAGGGTAAAATCTAAATATTCAGAAACAAAACAAATGTAAAACATTATTTACATGTTATAAACTTTGCCAACATGCATAAACATTAAAGCTCCATTATTACTGTTTAACAGCATTATTTTTCTGTTTGTTAGTTTTTTGTTGCAGTTATTTGTTTGGTGTAAACAAAAATACAACAAGAAATGTTTTCAGAAACACAACAGCAGAATTCTGTCTAACCAAGTGGAAGTCTTCCCTGTTTGGATCTTTAAAGGTACAGATGAGCACATTTATTGGTACTTTTCAACAATAATCAATAAGCTCAGCCAAAAAGCTCCAGTTTTGTCTCCTCAGTTCCAGAAACTTTAGCGCTTGTGCATTGTTCCACTTCCTGTCTGGCGTTTAGTGTTTTTCTGACACTCGTGGATCCTCCTGGGTCTTCTATGAAGTACAGTGTGGTTCAACATGTGGTGATGAACTTTGACTCTAGTTTTCTTGCCTTTTTTTTTTCCTACCATTTCATTATTTTGGGGTTTGTATTTCCTATTGCGTCCATGTCTTGGGAGGTTGACTGTTGTCCCACAAACTTGATACTTTTTTTACAGATCAATCTGGGTTTATTCAAATCTGACACCTGGACAGCATTTCATTGAGTTTTTGTTGTTACAGGTTTTTCAAAATAAATCTTTCTGCCTTCTTGATGTTTTTGTTTTAACTTGCAGCCTCCCTTTAAAACCTGCTGATTGAGAGATTATCATAAATAATTTAATAATTTGTTTCCTTTATTC